TGAGTTATCAATGAAATCTTCCGGGTCTTCGCGAATACTCTGTAGTAGCATTATGTAAGTGAGATCACAGCGACGAAACCACTCTGGACACCCCGATTTGGACGCTTCAGGGGCGTCTGGAAGAAGGAGAAAAAAAGAGAAAGAGCCGCGGCCCGGATGGAGCTTGGAGCCCACAGAAGGTCAGAGCCCCTGGCTGGTCTGGCCGGAGCCAGATCCCACAGAGGCTCAGACATGTTGCATCTCACGTGGTCAGAAAAAAGTGTAAAGAAAAGACGTCAAACTTAAAGAAATGCTCGCGGTGGACTTTTCCAAAATAAAAGCCAGTGAGCAACAGACATTTACAATAAAAAATAAATAAAAAATACAAATAAAAACGTGTGTTAACGGCATAAAAATAATTGTTGATAATGAATTGATTAGTTGATGCAAAATTAACGCGTTAAAGTGCCCAGCCCTAAAAAAAACAACAACACAAAAACAAGTGAAAGTATCAGTAGAGCGATTTATCGGCCGATATTTGTAGTTTTTAACCACCACCATGTTTGAAGTAAAAGTTTGGTGGAGGACATAGATATTCTTTGTAAACTTCTCTCATGCAGAGCAGTCTGTTGTGTAGTACTAGACTAGGCAGATACGTCCATCAGCTGCACTGAACTGTAGCTACAGAATAACATTTCAGTGTTATCTGTACAAATGAGTAATAGACAATATAACAATATACAACAATAGACAAGTTGAGAGACATGATTTTGCAGTAAAAGGTGAGGCTGTGTGAGGAAGTGTTCGAACTCTATAATGTGTTGATGATTTAGAGTGTTTGTGAGCAGACGGGAGCAGCGGTGCAGAGTTCAACGAAGCTCCAGGGACGAGACAGAAGAGAAATGGAGCAACTCAAACAGACAAAAACATCCTCATATTTTAAATGTTTGGTTTATCTACAAATGTGATTTAGAGAAGAGGAGAGAGGAAAGGAAGAGAGACGAAAGAGAGACAAAGAGAGAGGAAGAGAGGAGATCAGGAGAGAGAGAGAGAGGAGGACAGAAAAAATCTGGAGGGTTTGAACCATAATTTCACCTTAAATTAACTCAAATAAAGTGTAAAAATAAAACACCTCTGTGTGTTGTTTAGCTAAATCAGGATAACTCTACAAAGTGTTATCTGTTTACTCTCAAAACGTTAATATAACTCTGGATTTTCAGGGAACTTTGGTCCAGTGTTAATTTAACTCTAGAACAGATTGGAGTCATATAAACTCTGAGAAAATGTTCAAATTGATTCTGTGAGAGTTGATTTTAACACTTCACTTTTTATTGTGTTGGAGAGATGGAAAGGAGAAGAGAAAGGAGGAGGTGAGAAGGAGAGGAGAAGAGGAAATAAGGTCAGAGAGATTAAGAGGAGAGGAAGAGGAGAGGAAGAGGTTGGGTTCAGAGGAGGAGACATTTTTGTTTTATCTAAACGTGTGATTTGAGGAGTGATTTGTCGAGGGGAGTTGGACTTACAAATGTTCCAGAGAAAACATTTCAACTTTTGTGCTTTTTATTTCCTGCTTCTGCTTTCCTCCCACTCTTCTCCTTTTCCTCCTCCTTCCTCTTCCTCCTTTCAACTCCTCCTTTATCCATCCTCTTTCTAACCATTTCTAACCATCATTTCTCCTCTTCCTCCCTTCACATCCGACTTTCCTTTTTCCTCATTTTTCCTCTTCTTACTATATCCTCTTCTTCCTCTGCTTCATCTCTTCTTCTCAGGGCAGCAGCCACTGTTTTTTAACCCTATGGTGAGGAGCAGCCTGTTGGACTCCACTCAGCTGAGGCAGGCCTTCGTGGCAGCAGGACTCACAAAACTAGCAGACTTGAGAACTGAGCGAGGCTGGAAAAGTGCAGCCCAGCTGAGCGAGGAGACTGGGGTGAGGTGTGAGCGGGTGCTGCAGAGGCTGCTGTCGGACGTGCAGGGTGGCCTCCCTGTGCAGTTCAGGGAGGCACTGGGACTTTATGGACTTGTTCTACCTGTCCAGCCAGTGGCCTTCCCCTCACTGCGAGTACGAGCCGCTGGAGGGTCACAGGACCACGTTGGAGGAATTTTGTCTTTTGACACCCCTGTCTCCTCAGAAATTTCAGCAATGAAGAAGAAGGACTTTTACATCCTGTCCACCAAAGTCCTCCACAGAGCCGAGCTGTCCGGTGTCCCAGAGTCCAGGTGGTCAGGGGTGTTGGCTCCAGGTTCTTCTCCACGAGGCTGCTGGAGGCAGACATGTGACCCACCTTGACCCAAGATCAGACAAACACTGTGCCTTCTGCCAACAAGAAGAGACACTGGAACATCTGTGGCTGTCTTGTCCCCGGTTGGCTCCCCTCTTTACCCTCTTAGGCTAATGGCTTCACACTCTGGGCCAAACACTCACCCCAGAGCTCTTTGTGTTTGGCCCTAAGTTCTGTGTGGCCCAGCGCAGGACTGCACCACTGGTGAACTTTGTCCTGGGTCAGGCAAAGATGAGCGTGTGGCTCAGCAGGAGGAACCACATGTCCGAGCTCAGGATGTACAGACTCTGAACTCCTGTTGAAGAGACGGGTGGGGGCACGGCTCAAGGTGGAGTTTGTGTACAGTGCACTGGTGGGGCAGGTGGAGGACTTTGAGGCAGAGGTGGGGCAGGTGGAGGACTTTGAGGCAGAGGTGGGGCAGGTGGAGGACTTTGAGGCAGGTGGAGGACTTTGAGGCAGAGGTGGGGCAGGTGGAGGACTTTGAGGCAGAGGTGGGGCAGGTGGAGGACTTTCTTCTTCCCCTTGCTCCTCTTTTCACATTTTCTTCTCCTCCCTTTCCCCATCCTTCTCTTTCTTACTCTTTTCTCCCTCCTCTTCCTCCCTTCATCTCGCTTTTCCTCTTTTTCTCCTCCTTCCACCCGTCCTTCTCCCGTCTCCTCTTCTCTTCTTCCTTTATCTTTTCTGCTTCCTTCTCCTTCCTTTTCTTCTTTTCTTTTTCTTTATCATCCTTGCTCCACCTTCCTCTTCCTTCTCCTCCTCCAGTCACTCCATTCTTTCTCCTTCTTCTCAGCAACATCCTCTTCTTCTCCCTCCTTCCTCCTCTTTTCTAATTTCACCCACGCTTCAATCAATCCTCCTCTTTTTCTTACCCTCCTTCCTTTTCTTCCTAATTTCTCCTCTTTCCACACTTTCTTCGCCTCCTCTTCCCCATCCTTCTTTTTCCTCCTTTCATCTCCCCTTTCCTCTTTTTCTCCTCCGTCCTCCCAGCCTTCTCCCGTCTCCTCTTCTCGTCTTCCTTTATCCGTTCTTCTTTATCTCCTTCTCCTCATCTTTTCATTTTCTTTATCGTCCTCGCTTCGCCTTTCTCTTCCTCCTCCAGTCGCTCCCTTCTTTCTCTTCCTTCATCTCTTCTTCTCCTCTTCCTCCTTTCACTCTCTCCTTTCTAATTTCACCTCCTTATTTCTCCTCTTTCCTCATCCTAATATTCCCTCCTCTTTTTCTTCCACTCCTTCCTTTTCTTCCTAATTTCCCTTTTCCTCCTCCCCTCTTCACATACCTTCTCTTCCTCCCTTCATCTCGCTTTTCCTCTTTTTCTCCTCTTTCCACTCAACCTTCTCTCATCGTCTCTCCTCATCTCCCTTTATCTGTTCTTCTTTATCTCCTTCTCCTCACCATCTTTTCCCTTCCTTTTTCTTTGTCTCCTTCTCTTTATCATCCTTGCTTCACCTTTTTCTTCCTTCTCCAGTCACTCCCTTCTTTCTCCATCTTCTCATGACTATTCTCTCTCTTCTTCTCCCTACTTCTCCTCTTCCTCCTTTCACTTCCTCCTTTCTAATTTCACCTCCTACTTTCTTACCCTCCTTATTTCTCCTCTTTCCTCATCCTAATTTCCCTTTTCCTCCGCCTCTTTACACTTTCACCTTTTCGTCCTCCCCTTTCTCCTTTTTCCACATTTTCTTCACCTTCCCCATCTTTCTTCATCCTACTGTTTTCTCCTCCCCCTCTTCACGTACCTTCTCCTCTTCTCATCTTCCTTTATCTGTTCTTCTTTACCTCTTTCTCCTCACCATCCTGTCGCTTCCTTCCTTCTCCTCCTTCTCCTTATCGTCCTCGCTTCACCTTTCTTGTCCTCCTCCTTTAGTCACTCCCTTCTTTCTCCCTCTTCTCTTCATCATCCTTTTTCTTCTTCTTGCTTCTTCTCCTTCTCTTTGTCACCTTTCTCTTCCTCCTTTCTTCTCCTATCACTCCCTTCTTTCTCTCCATTCTCCTCACCACTCCTTTCTCTCTCTCCTCCTCTTCATCCCTCTGTTTCTGACATAAATCTGCGTGCGCTTCTCTCGTTTTTTTTCAGGGACATGTGTGAAACGTCCACCACGAGACCGGATCAAAGCGTCTACGTGTTTTCCCACTTTCACTCCTCCTCCTCTCCTCCTCTCCCTCTCTCCTCCTCCTCCTCTCCTCCTCTTTTTCTTCCTCTCACAGTTTTCCAGGAGGAAGTGCGTCTGCTTTCAATTAAAATACCAATCACGGAGTTTTCCAAAGTTTTTTCCGAAGCGTCACAAAAGTCGAACGCTCCGATTTATTAACGACGACGGCGGCGCGAGACGGAGGGAGACGCACGGAGGAGGAGGAGAGAGGAGGACGGGAGAGAGAAGAGAGGAGAGGTGAAGAAGTGTGGTGGAGATGAAAAAAGAGGAGAGTGGAGGAGGAGAGAAGAAAGGAGAGGAAAGGAGGAGAGAATAGAGGAGGAGAGAAGAGAGGCAAGGAAAGGAGGAGAGAAGGGAGGCAAGGAGAGGAGAGAAGAGAGGAGGGGAAAGGAGGAGAGAAGAGAGGAGGAGGAGAGAAGAGAAGAGAGGAGGGGGGAGAGAGAAGAGGAGAGGTGAAGAAGTGTGGTGGAGATGAAAAAAGAGGAGAGTGGAGAAGGAGAGGTGAAGAGGAGTGGAGGAAAGGAAGAAAAAAGGAGCAGAGGACTTGGAGGAGAGGCAGAGGAGAAGGAGAAAAGAGGAGGGGAAGAAGATAGGAAGA